AAGGGGATTTGGCTGAATCATACAAGTGCTTCCCAATATAAGCCTGACGTTCTTTAATGTACGCATGTAAAGTGTGTTGCACACAGGCTGTAAATGGTACAGTGAACACTTATTTAACCAACAGCATTAACAGTACTCTGGTGCTCTCTTTAACTTTCTGTTTTGAACACTTTCATGGACTTTTCAGACTACAAAGCTATGAATCTTATCCATATAAAACCCTGTTTGAGGGCGTGTTCTGGAAGAGGACTCATGCAGAGGCTTACTATTCCTTGTTTAACAATCCTGAGATGGAATCAGCCAGTGAAACGTCCGTCCTGTCATCAAAAAAGTCAACGGTGAAGAAGAAACCTGAAGCAGCTAGTACGACAACATTAAAAAAGACAGTCGGAATAACTGCAAATATGAAGGAGGCTTTTAAGTAAGTAAATGTAGTGTTTTATTATGAGGTGCATTAAATATGGATTTCAGGGGTTCTAAATTGGAAAAAGTCATTTTCGGGAGATCTGTTTTAAACAATCTTTCTTTAAGCACATCTACTTTTGTTTTGCTGCTTATGGTGTTTATACCAATCAACACTGATATCGACAAATAATAATAAAGGAGTAATACAGTAGTAAAAGCATGTAGATTTAATAACTTTGCAGGAGATGGGTTATTTTCTCTGAATTCTTTTCCGGTCCTTGTTAAATAGTAATGCACTCATGGGCTTTTATAATAGTTTTAATTATGTTGTTACTGTCATAAACATTACAGGCAAAAGCAAAAACAACAAGTAGCAATGTTGTATGATGTACCAGATGCATATGAAATCAGCCAGCATGTCTTGCTCTTCAGCCTTATTGACAGGTAAATACATTTAATAGAGAACGATAAAGGCAATGATGCCATTATTTATGATGATGGTGGTGGTGGTGATGATGAAGACCATGATAAAAATGGAGAAGATGCCGAAGATCGCAGGGATGAGGATGATAAAGATGATGATGAGGATGATGAAGATAATGATGAGGTTGATAATGATGATGATGCTGAGGAGGTTGGTAAGGATGATGATGTTGATGATGATGATGAGGATAATTGGTGATGATGATTATGATGAGGATTGTGATGATATGAGGATGATGAAGATAATGATGAAGTTGATGAGGATGATGATAAGAATGATAGATGATTATGAGGATTATTACTATGTATGATGACGATTATGAGGATGATGACAAGGGTGATGATGGAGATGATGATGAGGTGACAATGACATGGGGAAATTATAGTACTGTAAGAATGAAATGGAGAATACTTTACAGGTCAGTTGAATAATTAATTCGATGATAATGATTTCTAGGGGCAAGTTGAATGTTGATATCTTAGTGGAGCTGTGTCAATTACACCAAAGTACTTCGGCTCAACTTCTCACTTGCATTCAATACAATGATACCATCCAAGATATAATCAACTCAGCGTCTGGACTAAGCAACGTGAGTTCCACAGATCCTTTACCATCTATCCACTCATTCACTGTCCGTTTTCTAACCAAGTAAAGTCACTATTTATTAACAAACATGTTGATCTATTATTAGAGAGTATACAGAGTTGTTGGACTTCTGATTGTGATCTCGGGAGTTTGCAATGCACTTTACTTATGTCTGCCTTTCTCCACCCAGGACTATAAATGGGTACCTGTTAGCATGGTATGGCATAGAACGTATGTGTTATGCTTGGAAAGCAGCATGACTAGGGATAATCCCTAGAGGTGCTATATAAATAAAAAGGGTTGTAAAAACAACACTAGGCAATCTATATGAAAACTAGAATGTTCTGTCTATGTGCCAGCCTGCTATCTGAAAACCAGAAAACACAAGTTATGTATCAACATTGCTAATCAACTCTGTAAATCCACTATCTTTTAAAAATTTCTCAGAATCGTTTTGCTTAGGATATCTTACGGATTGAAATTTAAATGTCATTTTACAACTTGGGGCCTACAGAAAGTGCTGACACCATACCTGTATACCATCAGCATTCATTTCTATTTTATAGAATTTAAGCTACTTTATTCTTTTTGATTATATTTTTTAGGAATACTCCATCTTATTGGAGATTATTGAAAGGTTATTTGAAGATTATCAGAAAAAGCTGCTGCCACTGTTGGACAATTCACTGTAATTCTATTTTTAATTTGTTCCTTTTCTTATTTGAACCCTAGCTATAATTTGAATGTCAAGATTTAAGATAATATCAGTGTCTGAAAAACACTTGAAATTACATTCCACTGGCAGTGTTACAAGTGTTAATAACATATATAGTAATAAATAAAAAATATCTAAGGTTATACAAATATAAAACTATGAGCACCAAACAATAACTATTCATAAAAGATTAAAAGTGAATACAAAGAACAGAAAATTAAACATCATTAAAGAATATTATACATTATTATGCTTTAATTTAATGCTCACATTTAATGCTTTAATTCAATGCTTTAATATTTTATCTTTATCTTTCTTATGCTTTTTACTCACTACTTGGAGAAGACAGTTGTGGTATTACCACAAAGGTCCATGCTTTTATCAAGCTCTCATTAACTCAAAATATAAGTACTGTTAATTCATATGTAGAAGTGGTTTGGTGCAGGCGGGGGCGGTTTGGTTTCCCAACCTCGAGGTCGGGGAGTCAAATTCTTGCTGTGCATTTCGCTTGTGTCCTTGAGCAAGGCACTTTATCTGCATTGCTTCTCTCCACCCAGGAGTATAAGTGGGTACCTGGTAGGGTTAAATGCCAAATGCGCTAAATAGCTTCTGCGCCGTTATGGAATACTGCCCTGAGGAGCTGAGGTTGTGTTTCATAGGTGTTTAATCCAATGACTGGGGTAATGATAATGTGAATTGTGCATAGGGGTCTTTTCATAATGCGCTATTGAAGTCTACCATTATTATTATTATTATTATTATCGTTGTTTATATCAGAGATTTTTTTTTATGTGATGCATTTGTTTTTAATTTTTTTTACAGTTTTGCAAGATCATCTGATGTGCAGACAAGTCACAAGATCATTTCCATGGCAACAAATAAATGCAATCAGT